TTTTTTAAGCCCAGTCATCTAAAATAAGCCGAGTCATCCAGAATAAGCTGAGTCATCTAGAATAAGATGGATGGATAAAATAGGAAGGTAGGATAGGATAGAATGGGAAGGAACGATAGGATAGAATAAGAAAGAAGGATAGGATAGAACAGAATAGGAAGAAAGGATATGATAGGAGAGGATAGGAAGGATAGGAAGGAAAGGATACGAAGGAAGGATAGATAGGAAGGATAGGATAGGATCAGATAGGAAGGATGGATGAATTTTTCAATATTTTCTTCTCTACTCTTGACTTTCTATCAGGATACCATCAGATCGATTTTCCGAAATTCCAAAACGCCATAACTTCCAAACTGGAAGTCGGATCTAAATTTGATTTAAAGATTCGGATTCCTGACAAAATTCTACCCCTAATTCACAACTCATACATTAAATTTGGCGAATTTTTATTTTGACCTACTTTTTGGACACGCCATAACTTCGGAACCGGAAGTCGGATCCAAATTTGGTTTGCAGATTCTGATTTCTGAGAAAATTCTTTCCTTAATTCATAACTCAAACATTAAATTTGGAGAACTTTTTATTTTGACCTACTTTTTGGACACCATAGCTCAAAAGTGGGTCAAAATACTTTCTGACGGCAAAAGGCTAACGCTATTAGCACACTCTTGGCTACAAGTATACACAATTTCGAAGAATATAATTAAAGTGTAGTGTCAGAATCGCAAAAATAAGAAAAAACTTGGAATTTGACCTAGATTTTGACCTAGGCATTTTGGTGTCCAAATTTTGAAGCTATGTGGCTTTTGAGGTCCCCTTCTTTTAAAGGCTTTGATTATATGAAGCTGAACTCAGTCTATATTTCGTATTTTTCACTTCAAAAAAATCTTTTTTCCCATTGACTTAACATGGGCACCAAATTTAGCGATTTTTGAGTTTTCAAAACGCCATAACTTCCGAACCGGTAGGCCGATCCGAATTTGGTTTTCATATTCGGAATCCTGAGAAAATTTCCTATAAGACTAATATCCTGGACATTTGATTTGGAGAACTTTTTTTTGGACCTCGTTTTCGGACACTGATATCTCGAAATCGGTTTGAGATATCAAAAAACTAAATCGACCCTAGCTTTCCTACTTTTTTATAAGGAACACAATGAAAAAAACCCGGATCAAAAATATTGAAGGACGACTGAGAAAATTGAAAAAAGTGACAAAGTACTGGATTTGACCCAGTTCCTGACCTTTGACCTAGATAAAAATTTGACCCAATTTCCCACCAACTAGATACTGAACCTAAATAAACTGTATAATGGTCTTTACTGGATACCTTATAGTTTCTGAAAAAACGGCTACGGAATAATAAGAATAATAATAATAAGAATACTGGCAAAAACAATAGACTCCAGATTTTCAATCTGGAGTCTAATAATAATAATAATAAAGAAAACTGACGAAAGCAATAGACTCCAGATTTTCATCTGGAGTCTAATAATAATTTTACAACTGGCTCTATGAGGGTTTTTTATAATAAATAGTTATACAAGTATAATACGAGGGGTGTTCAACAATAGCAATACAAATGGTATTATCTTACATCTCTCATAGGGGAAGAAGGTTTAATCCTGTTTGATCCCTATCTTTTTATGAGGTCATTGTTCACCCTTGGTATACGCAGCTAACGAAAATTGACCGGTACAGGTCAAAAGCTGGACCGGAACTGGTTAACGGTTTTATTTGAATTTAAAATAGCCATAACTTGCTCAATATTGACTTCCTCGTGTCTAATTTGAAATATATGATGCCTCCCGATGCTTTTAAGTACCCCAATTTTTTACAGATTTTTAAACGGACCAAAACTCTCTAAATGCACATTTATGCTCTTTTCTCTCGAGAATGACTGTCTCATTTTCACGATAACTTTTATTTAGTACTTCTAACATATAAGATCTATTTTTCCCCATCAAGGTATGATGGAAATGACATGCTATTTACATCTTGTGAGTTTCAATGACGCGCGTTTGATTTTATAAAAAATGCCAAACTTTGTGACAAAGAATTTCATCCTGCTTGCAGCGAGAAGACGGACCGGTTCGGGGCAATCTTCTTGCAGCGAGAAGACGGACCGGTTCGGGGCAATAGCTGATGAAATTCTTTGTCACAAAGTTTGGCATTTTTTATAAAATTAAACGCGCGTCATTGAAACTCCCAAGATGTAAATAGCATGTCATTTACATCATACCTTGATGGGGAAAAATAGATCTTATATGTTAGAAGTACTAAATAAAAGTTATCGTGAAAATGAGTCAGTCGTTCTCGAGAGAAAAGAGCATAAATGCGCATTTAGAGAGTTTTGGTCCGTTTAAAAATCTGTAAAAAATTGGGGTACTTAAAAGCATCGGGAGGCATCATATATTTCAAATTAGACTCGAGGAAGTCAATATTGAGCAAGTTATGGCTGTTTTAAATTCAAATAAAACCGTTAACCCGTACCGGTCCAGCTTTTGACCCGTACCGGTCAATTTTCGTTAGCTGCGTATACCAAGGGTGTTGTTTGTATATTATTCATTCATAGTTTGTTGTGCAATCAATAAATGACTATCTAAATACAAACAAAATATTACGAATTTATCCTTTGTACTTTTAAAGTTACAGTAAAAATATAAGTTTAAGAGTATCCAGAGAATCTTTTTTTTTACATCTTGCTCAAGTACTTAAAGGGTTCCGATTAGCATCCCGTATAAAAACAATATGGCGGCTCCAGGCGAATCAACTGGATCAGTCCACTTTTAAGAAATAAGGGGAGTTCTGTAAAATCCAGTTTATTGAAATTGTCTTTGAGATAAAGTAATCCGTTTATAATGATTTTGAAAACGTTATCCAAAGAGTGATTGCGTTCAAAGAATACATGTACAACAGCCAATATAAATCCTTGTATTAGAAACCGGTTTGTCTTGCTTTGTTTCATTTGTAGGATATTCCATATGCAAAGCTGTGTGCTATTACGTTATGGGGAAATTTAGATGCCAATTTTTCCTTATTGTACACAAATAAAAGATCCTGAAACTTCACCCATAAATGTGGAATTGATTTGTCAAAATAAAAATCACCCTTTTATAAATGTGTGACGATCTATAATATACTTATGCTATATAACAGTTAGAGGTGTTGACACAACGACCTCAAACCTGTGAACCCTTGAGTATTATTCCGGGATCGGGCCTTTTATACTAAACGGTGAGCAACACCAGAAACGAGCGTTCGATTTGCTAAACGATATGCGTCACCCTTTAAGTCCAAATCACTTTTTTGTCTCAAACCATTTTTCCTATTTTGGGTACTGGGAGTTAATCAAAACGTGTGAGAAATGCTTTACAGTTGGATGCAAATACATTAGAAGATTAAATTAAATATTCAAATAGGTAATATACTGATTAATGGATCAAGAAAGAGCATTGATGGTCATAGATATTGAGATATATATGGACTAAAATCCAGACTAAATTACTTTAAGACAAAATGGCTCTGAGTACCCTTTTTGTAACATCTTTACTATAACTTTACAAATAACAATTAGTAATATTATATTTAAGTAATGTTATATTATAGTGATATTATATTATCATAATATTTGGCCAGCATTTATAACAAACAATTTCTCATATCCCTTGCCTTTAATCATTGCACACCTCATGATGATTCCTTCATTAGCATGAAAATGAGGGCAATTGGATTTTATCTAATATTTATTGATCGACCCTCGTATCCCAGGCTACTAGGCAATGCAATACAATAGAATAATGTTTGGAATGAAAATCTGTATTTCATTAGTTAATAGCATATAAAAAGCAAAATATGAAGTAATTGATGATACATAAAAGTCATAAAACCAAATGGGAATTGCAATTTTATAGCCTGGTATATGTTGTTTTATTGGAATTTGATGCACTGTATTGTGTTAACCATTTCAATACTTTCATGTCCCATTTGAATATTTGATTGATGTTGGAAAAAATCAAAACTAGAAAATGGCAACTCCATGGAGTAGCAAATCACAATGAACAAAATTATAATCATTCATCTGTTCTGTTTTCCACAATATAATATTTACCATATACTCTACCCTTGATTTGCAGATAATAAATGGCAGAAATTGGGTATTTGGGTCACCGTTTAGGAGTATCAAAGGCACAACTTATAAAGACAATACTCAGTATCTTATACAGTAGGCATGATCTAATATAGTATAATATAACTATAACTAATTTCTAAATTACACCGAATTCCCTCTTAAGGCAGCCATTTTGAACTTTCTGAGGCAAAAATCAGAAAAACAATGCCATAATTGTGATCTTCCTTCAATTTGAGTATAAAATAGCCATACTTTGAAGAGATGAGGAAATTATCGAGAAATCCCACATTGGGCAGCCAGAATCAGAATAATGTTACAATATTTGCAATCAACTCTAAACTGGCTTTCATTCAATTATAATAAAGCTATATTTCAGAAAGATCTCAAAATTGACTGACACTCCCTTTTTCCTGACCTCCCTACACAGCCCCTGGGGTCATAGCGAAAAACACAGAATATATGTCAAATAGATATTTTATTTTGCCACAAGTTCAAAAAACTTAAATTTTCACGAAAAAATTCATGCAAATTTCAAACCTTTGGCTATTGAAAAAATGAAAAAAATGAAAATCTTTTGTCCAAAACCATTTTCAAAACCATTGCAATTGTACAGTGGATTTTGAATATGTTTTAAGAGCATTCTTCGCAAAAACTGTTTTTATAGATCAAATCTTTTTTTTGTTGGGCAAGTATGCAAAATAAAATACATCTTCACCAATGGAAACAGTGTCAAAGTACAAAAATGTTTATATTTATAATACCAATTAAATGTATCACTTCAAAAATACTCTCAGTGGATTTTTGTAAAATTGTTGTAAATTGATAATATCAGCAAATACAGTCCATACTCGTGCAGTTGTGTAGTTATGATTGTTATTGCAAGATGAATATCCGAGTATGATAATTTTGTTTACAAATCACCCTTTCATTAAATATTAGAGTGATCTGCATTCCAAATGTTCCTGGCTACCCCACTTCCTGATATAATTCATGAGGAAGCAAAATTACCTGAAGAAAGGAATTAAAGATGGGGTATTTTTCAAATATTCTAAATAACTAGGATCTTTGCCCCATCTTCTAAGTCCAGATTTCTCTAACATTGGAATGCCACTGACTCTCGTGAGAAGGAAGAATGTAAACAGTGGAGAGATGGCGCTCAGGTATTCTTTGCCTTTAAATGTTGATGATGCAGAGATGTAAAGTCCGCACCAGAGTAAGATTTCACCAAAGTAGTTAGGATGACGACATATGCTCCATAGACCTGATGATATGAACTTGCCCTGGAACAGACAAAGTCGTAAGATGGAATACCTTGACTCTACCTTGAGATGTAAGCTAGTAAGAGATATATTTTGGCAATTCAATGCAGATACACTGTAGACTCCCGAAAATTCAACATTTTTTTATCCATATCATGTTGAATAACAAATTTAGTTTCGTAAGGGGGAGGGGGTTAGTGAAAAGTGTTGATTTTTTAAATATTCAAGTGAAAGACAAATCAACATTTTAAATTTCGTTAGATGAGGGGAGGGGGTCAAATCATAATGAAATTAACACTGCTTTTCAATGACTGTTGATAATTGGACATCATCCCTAAGGTTGTGTTGTACATTATATGGATGGTTATTGGAATATAAACACTAAACAGACATGTAACTGGAGGTATCTTTAATTTAGAGCTGTTCTTTGGGGTGAATAGGTTTAAGCTAAAGTGTCTTTTAAACTACATGTATTTCACTGTACAGCTTTGGCATGATTATTTAAACTAAATAAATATACATATACGTACAGCATTATCTGGATTATTTCTGAAAGATGACTTCTGGTAGTCGGCTATAACCTCAAACAGAAAGCCTACAGTCCAAAGACCCCATCCTACATAGTCTCTGGTGCTAATGGGCTTGTCCTTCTCTTTAGAGTTGTGGATGAGTGTAGGTAGGAGATTGAGGAATATCCAAGCACCTAAAATAAAAAGAAATACATGGCATTCTATTAATAATGTCAGGTCAAAATATCATGACAATTTTGGGACAAAATAATTTAACAAAACCTTTCTGTTTATTAAATGTTATTGAACATTGAAGATATATTCTCCCAAACTCAATGTTTTTCCAACAAAATCTAGCTTGCCTCCCCTAACATTACTAGTTTTTTAAATGGCACATCGATATTTTGACATAGTCACTATTGCAAATTGACTGCTGAAAATCAATATTTGACTATATAACTATATTAATAAAAGCATATTCCACATTTACCTAAGGAATCTATATTAGATATCATTTTAAAGATATTCCAACTTACAAGATAGACCCAAATTTGTATAAATTATGAAATAATAGATTTCTGTCTTATTCAAAACTGAAGAAAATAATTAAACAAGTATATCCCTCATGAAATATTTTTATTATAATATTACAAAGCTACATGTATAGAGTAAAACCTCTATTGGTGATTGAGGTATCTAACAATGGTGACACTATTTCCACAATTTACCTTGCATTGTCCAGGCAAATAGGAACATTGCTGGTGACTGTTTGATTTGGTTGAACCGTCTGTCTTTTCCCTCCTTCAGTATACGAGTGAACAAAAAGAGACCCAGTCTGCAAAATATAAATGGTTTAGTCCATACAGGGTTGATTAAGTTGTACAAAGAAACATTCTACATTTCATTGGAGAACAAGATTCCCTGATGACAACACTGTATAAGACATGTCATATGTCAACAATAAAAATGTTGTACCTGAATGCCCATGTCATGACCATCCCAGTCTGCACCTGTTTCCGCGTTGAAGTTTTCCCCGACCATTCTAAACTTTTATAGGCAAGATATAGATGTGTGCAGGCACCTGAAATAATAGACAATCTTGTGTTATTTAATTTATATTCAAAATCTTTAATTTGCTCAACTAAAGGGGCCTCACTTTTTCACAGGATCCTGAAGCACCATCTAATCATCTAATCAATGTACCCCAACCGGTGATGGTAAGGTTGGGTGATAGCCTGGGTGATGGTAAACACATGGTGTTCATATATTTCAAAGTTCTTTTATATTTTATGCTTGACACAGATTCGCTAAAAACATTTCAATATCTGCATGGATTTCATAGTGCAGTAGAAAATACTGATAAATTATTGAAATTATGAAACCCCAAAGTTACTCACCCACTAAATCATAAAATTTCTCTGTTTTCATCAACACTGCAACGAGCCAACCTGCCCATTGTATTGTAAAATCTATGGCAGCAGTTTTTGCAAGTGTGTTCCCCATGATGAACTCTAAAACTGACATGATAACCTAGTTTATAACCCCAAACTTTGAACTTTTACAAATTTGCAGGTGCTTTTGACCTCACCTTGAACTTTGATGTAGACATTGATCAAAAGTTAGACGAGGACTGATAATTCATTAAATCCTTATAAACACATCAAATATCTTATGAAGAGTTCTTATGGATATTTTGAATGTCTAATTGTCTCGGAAATTGCTAGAAAAACGACCAAAACGAAGTTCCATTTTATTTTTACGACAATGCTATATCGTAGATGGGACGCATCATGATAGAAAATATTTTGAAAAAATGTGTACTATGTTTTCTGTTTACAACATATAAGAAGCCTTGGTATGTTAAATGAGACATTCATATTGTGAAGTTTATATTGTGTTAACTGTTTATACGCAAAATATACGTTTAAGAACGAAATTCGCACCAAAAATTATGTATAACACATATTATCGCCCACTTGAAAACATGGATTAATTTCTTACATTCAACTTGGAAACGGATACTCTATCAATTTATTCATCTTCCTAAAACATGGGAAGAATAAAGTCAAACTCATTCAAGCCTTTCAAATTAAGTTGAATAAGCTTTGTAGAGCCCATTTTCAGACATAGTAATTCTTCCAAGACTTATGATGGATGACCACACTTGTAATATGAATAATGAGTCGATGAACTCAGAGGTTTTGCTAGTGGAACCATTCTATGGTGGTTCACATAAACAACTAATGGATTTGCTGAACAGTGAGATTGAAAAGACTGAATTATACACTATGTCACCCAAGAAATGGCATTGGAGAGCAAGGACCTCAGCTTTATATTTCTCAAGGAAGATAAAACAATCCGAATCATTCAAGTAAGCCACCTCTGTGAGTTTGTTCAGTTCTGTATGTTCAGAAATGGCTCATATTTGGAGTCCAATATTATTTGCATAACTCATTCCATGCATGGTCTACATCTTTCAGTTTTGCACAAAGAACACATAATATACAGGGTGGTCCAAAAAAAATTGGAACATTTGATAATTGAACTCAAAATCGTTATTTTTCCTCTAAAATGACCCAAAATGTTACTGAGTATTGTTCAGACACTTATTTATCTGATGTAAAGTTTATAGGTGAAAACAACAAAGTTAATGCATTAAACTAGACAATGTTTGATATGACCCCTCTTCTGAATTACAAATTCAAGCCTGAGACTCTGTTTTGAAATGATTCATTCAGTTTGCTGTTTGTTTGTATTTGTCCAAGTAATCTTGATTAAAAAATTCAGCTTGACCAAACTTCTTATATGTTTGCCTTGTAAGATCAAATCTAGTAACATACTCAACATTTTTTTACCTAAATTGATAGGTATCAAGTTTGTTTTGATGGCTATTGTCGAGTGTATTACTGATTGAATATTCTCAAGAAAGAGGCCAGGGCAGCCCGTTTTGACTGGTAAATGCAGCCCCCATCCCATTTCTTGTTCTAATATGAATAATGTTCATTGAATGTATCATCAATATATGTATATCAATATCATGAAGGAGTTTCCCAGAACACAAATTATATATTATATTATATGTGCTTAGAGGTGGTCTTTAATAAAGCCTTGTGAATAACTGGTAAGATTCCCCTCTACTGAAAAGCGGAAACAATGATTTTGTCAGTTTAGTAGCTGTATGGGTTATGCAATCACTCACCTCTGACATGTTCTTTCTTTCCTACTCTTAAATAAAAATAACGATTTTGGGTATTCTTAAGTTAACGGTTGCAAAATAGTTTTCTAGGAAACCATAGATGTTAATACCTCTTGTCAAATGAATATGATTTTATAAAATGTGTATAGCAATCATCATGTTCATTAGAGCTTTGGAATAAAGAATACTTGAAAAAGAAGCGGCTAAATTGACACGTGTATATTTGAGAAAAGGGGGTCCTATGAAATTTTGACTAGTTTTACATGAACTTTGTGGTTTTCACCTATAAATTTTACATCAGATAAATAAGTGATTGAACTATGCTCAGTAAAGTTTTGGTGCATTTTGGAGAAAAAATAAAGGTTTTGCGTTCAATTAACGAATGTTCCAATTTTTTTTGGACCACCCTGTAAATAACCTAGCCATACATGCAGTTGCGGGTAAATATTTTCAACTAACTACGGTATGTTTGAAAATTTAGAAAATTTAGTGACCTACTTTTAAAAAGTACAAAATATTTAGATTACTGATTTTTCTCTTTTTTATAACTAGAATATAGATAGAACTTACCCTCAACTGATAATCTAGTTATTATGTTTGTAAAATTCGGAGCTATATATGCAAGGCTAGCAACAGAGTAATGTCTGAATCATTTGACATAGCTAATACTGTAGATGCTTGTTCAATTCCAGAGTGTTGTTTGCCAGTTCTGTTCTGAACCTAGCAGAGCTCATAGCTCTGAGACCTGACCTGGAGAGACTTCGAAAGGTGCTATACTTCCACGAAAATCAGCTTGAATACCCTGTACAGAAGCAACTTGATAGAGACTTCCAATATGGTTACAACCAGATTTTGTCATGGTATGTGTTTAGCTACAATACACAGATGTTTCAAAATCATTACACATGGATTTAAAACATATTTTATATAATGTAGATAATAGAGAGTACTAGTGTTTAACACTAAATTAGACGAATAACATTAGTCTTCAGCTTCAAATGTATTTCATAGAATGATTTACTAAATTACAATTAATTGTTACATTTACTCAGATGATCTTTATTTTTCTATGTACCAAGTCATGTTTGTGACTACATTGGTGTGTTTTATTTTTTCAGTTTGGTAGCAGATGTGATCTGCTTTAACTCAGAGTATAATATGAAATCGTTCCTTAGTAACATTGTTCATCACATGAACATAATGCCTGACTACAGACCCAAGAGTCTTGTTGAGGAAATCAAACCAAAGTGTAGGGTTCTATATTACCCAATACTTTACCCAACAGACATTCAGCGTGAAATAGAGATATCTCAAGGACAAGGAATGTGCACTGAGCAGGCTGAGGAGACACCTGATCCTGTGTCAGACACTCATTGTGACAATATAAGAGACACCCATTGTGTTAACACAAATAATGACACCCATTATGATGACATAAATACTGACAGCCATTGCCATGACACAAAAGTTGGCACTCAGTTTACCAATGAAGGAAATCATTACCAAGTTGCATCATGGGATAGTCAATCTAAAAAGAAAAAACTGGATGTAAAAAGTGAAACACTGATTACATGTACTAGTCATGAGAATCTAAAGAAAGAAGACAGTTCAAATCTGCCAATACATATTGTTTGGCCTCATAGATGGTTAGTGTAGAAGTTTTCATAGATATAAAGCGATATTATGTACATGTAGTAATAGTCATATAGAAAATATGAGAAATCAAATGGCATTTCCCATATTTCAGTTTGCACAAAATGTCCTCCTCCCCTTTCCCAAAGAGAAAGCAAAATGTATCAAAAATATATTGACATTGCAATATATTTTACATGCTTGTTTATTTAGGGAGCATGACAAGAATCCAGAGAGCCTGTTTACAGTGCTGTATGATCTTCATGAGAAAGGAATCCCCTTTAAAATATCTGTACTTGGAGAATGCTACCAGGACCATCCAGGTAAACAATTAGGCTCCACGCAATTTCTAAGTTTCTTCGAATCAGATAATACTCACTTTGTCAGAAATGCAACAAAAATTACTGACTGATTAAACTCAATTTTATCAAATTACGCTATCAACAAAAATAGGTCAATCCCTCTCATTTTCTTATAACTAAGGTTTGAAATTTGCAATTCCTGACCTCCATATTTGTAGCACATAATTCACTTTTATGTCAGCCTATATAAGTTGCTTAATTCTTTGAATTTCATATTTTGTATTAAAAAATTCTTTATTTTGAATGTTATTCCTATTGTTTGTTTTCAGCAATATTTAAAGAAGCAAAAGCAAAATTGTCTGACCATGTGTTGAACTGGGGACACTTGGATAGCAAACAGGACTATTACAAAGCTCTCTCAGATGCGGATATTGTCATCTCAACATCCAATCATGAATTCTTTGGAGTTGCAATGTAAATAAGAAGAGGGAGGAAAACCCCAGAACATGATTCCATATAAAGATGAACCTCTAAAGGTTCAACTTTACATAGCGATATGTTCATCTATGAATTCTGGGGCACTTGTGATTTGAACACTTGTGGTGGCAGTTTCTTAGTACATGTATAATTAGATCTAAGAAGAAATAATATGATGAAACTCAAAACTAAAAATATTGTTTATTAGTGTTACATTATGAGACCTAAAGAATAATTTTTATTAGTTTATAATGAAATAAAACTGTGAATGGGCTTCAGGACTGTCAATAGATGGCATAAAATTCAGTAGGTTTAATAGCATACTTTAACATGTAAAAAATGTTCCAAAAATCTCCCAAAATAAATTTTATTGAAAATATCCAAAACTTCTAATTTTAAATCTTAAAACATGTTTGTAAATAATGATGAAGGAAAATATGATATTTATTTGATATATAGAGAGAATTTGAAGTTTCAAAACAGCAATATTTACACATAAACCAATGGGCCTATTATGGAGGACAACCTAGTAGTTAACTGCCATCTATACGAGTCCTGGCTCCCATTAATAACAAGTGAACATTCACAGAACACTATTTATCATATTTTTGGGAGGGGGTACATGTCCTATCTGTTTTGTAAGGAAACTTTGATTTATAAGAGAAGACGAATCACTATAGTATACATGTATTTTTCATTCCAGGCTAGAAGCTGTCCATTTTGGCTGCCACCCACTTGTGCCTAACAGACTTGTCTACCCAGAGATATATGGCTTCTCTCCCCATGTAAAAAGTAACTATTTAAAAATTTTCAAAATTGCTTAATTTGTTCAATCTTAATATGAGAAAAAAGCCAAGATGATTTGGATCATGTATTTTGCATAGAGATGATAAAATGGTTAAAATGCCGGTGTCCTGAATTAATTTTTAGTCTAACACTATATCTTTTTGTATAACTTTTTGTAAAATACTGAGCCAGTGTTGTACAATATAGAGTAGAATATTTTATGGTCTGAAAACGATAACATTTGTTAATAAAAAGCAGGAAGTTCAAATATTTGAAAAATCAAGGCCAACAACTTTTTTTCAAAGTCAACTTTTTCCAAAAATATCTCTATTTTCAAGTCGCTACAAATAGTGTTTGATGGATAAAATATAGTTTCCAACTAGCTATGCATCAGGCCTTTATAGATTAATGTTAAATTGAATACTGTTATTATCTATTTAAAATGTAACGTTTCATGATTTCTTGATTGAACTCAGAAATCAAAATTAATGATATATAAATTAAGTTTAGTTTAAATTAAATTAAACAGAAGAAAGCGTAGTAAGAAAATGGAAAGTTAACCTGTTGCCTCTATAATACAAATATTACAAGGTAGCCATTCTAAATTTTAAGTGCAGTATTTGTCTCTTTCAGAATGTTTCATGTACAACACAGATAATCAGTTGAGAAAGATGCTGGAAAATATATATAAACACCCACATTCTGTGCGTTATCTGAATGCAAAGGTAGGATTAATCATTCTGACTGACATTGACTTTGTCTGGCTAGATTTTTTGAAGTTGAAAAATGTTGAGATTGCTTTTTCTGTTTAGATGTGTTCCTTGGGCAGAGCTCTATTGAGTGCCATTGAAACAAACAAGGCATTAACATGCAAAATGTCACCACCTGCCATTTGTTACAAACAAAATCCATGAGATCAGCTTGAGTCACTTACTTTCCTTGTATCATGTATTTGTTTCCAGGAACTATTAAGGCCTGGGCGCTTCAGTTGGGAAACACTCAAGCATCAATATCTGGATGTTTTGTCTCCTCAAGCTAAGGACAAATGCCTAGCAGACTTTAAACAGTATGGTGAAGTTAGATGATCAATGTTGGGGCTTCTATTAAATTCATTTTATAAAATACAAGACACAGTATGAAAAATAAGTACCGTGGGTACTGGGCTCACATGGTGACAGAAAAAAAAGGAATGTAATTTTTTGCTGATTTTTTGTAACAAAATTATTTCAAGCCACTTGCCACTATTTTGGACTGACTGAGAGACAGATGTAGAAATCGATGTTAAGTAAAATGGCTGAAAAAAAAACGGATATAATTTTGTTGCCAATTATTTGTGACAAAATTATTTCATACAACTACTCTTTACAGTGACATGGCTCTTTGCAATGCGAGACACCTGAAATTATTTGTAAAGCTAGGAAATGGGCCAAAATTGAATTTCGCGAGGCAAAAATGGCGACCATTTTGAAATCAGGCAAGCTTTTGAACCAGGAGTCATAAGGGAGTTTTTTGTATTGATGTTGAACAAAAATAACTTGAAACTGGAATACTATCGACAGAGGGTTTAAGCAAATGGTCCAAAAGAGGATTTCGCGAGACAGATGGACAAATCAATGTTAACTAAAATGGCTGAAAATAAAAAAATGGATATAATATTTTGTCGATTTTTTGTAACAAAATTATTTCATACAACTACTCTTTACAGTGACATGGCTTTTTACAATGCAGGACAGCTGAAATTATTTGTAAAGCTAGAATGGGCAAAAAGTGAACTTCGCGAAACAAGAGTGGCGGCCATTTTGAAAATAGGCAAGCTTTTGAACCAAGAGTCATAGGAGAGTTTTTTGTATTGATGTTGAACAAAATCAACTTAAAACGGGAATCCTATCGACAGAGGGTTTAAGGTAAATGGTCCAAAAGTGGATTTTGCAATCAATGTTAACTAAAATGGCTGAAAATAAAAAAATGGATATAATTTTTCACTGATTTTTCATAACAAAATTATTTCATACATCTACTCTTTACAGTGACATGGATTTTTACAATGTAGGACACTTGAAATTATTTGTAAAGCTAGGAAATGGGTCAAAAGTGAATTTTGCGAGACAAGAATGGCGGCCATTTTGAAAATAGGCGAGCTTTTGAACCAAGAGTCATAGGGGAGTTTTCTGTATTGATGTTGAACAGAAATAACTTAAAACAGGAATCCTATCGACAGAGGTTTTAAAACGTGCCACTGTTATTGACGGAAAATGGATTTCGCGAGTCAGATAGACAAATCAATGTTAACTACAAGAACACAAACGTGTACAATATGTCCCCACCTATGGGTAATCCTGTCAAATGATTATCCTAAAAATGAGTAGACAAGACTTTACCGACACAATTTGAGGACGGAGAATCCAAAATGGCCATCTTAAAATTTACCAAGAATGACAAAAAATTAGTCAGTTCTAGATTTTCATACTAAGAACCACCCCTGAAAATTTGAAATTGATCCCTCACACAGTTAACCAGAAAACATGTAAACTGAAAATTTAAAATTGATGTACCAAACAGTTCACCTGGAAATGTGTAGACAAGACTTTACAGACAAGATTTTAGGACAGAAAATCCAAAATGGCTGCCTTGACATTTACCCAGAATGCCCAAAAACTAATCAGTTCTAGATTTTCATAATAAGAATCATCCCTGAAAATTTGAAATTGATCTACCAAACGGTTCACCTAAAAACGCGTAGACAAGACTTTACGGGCAAGATTTTAAGACGGAAAATCCAAAATGGCTGCCTTGACATTTATCCAGAATGCCGTAAAAATTATCAGATCTAGATTTTCATACTGAGAATCATCCCTGAAAATTTGAAATTGATCTACCAAACGGTTCACCTGAAAATGCGTAGACAAGACTTTACAGACACGATTTTAGGACGGAAAATCCAAAATGGCTGCCTTGACATTTACCCAGAATGCCCAAAAACTAATCAGATCTAGATTCTCATACTAAGAATCATCCCTGAAAATTTGAAATTGATCTACCAAACGGTTCACCTGAAAACGCGTAGACAAGACTTTACAGACAAGATTTTAGGACGGAAAAATCCAAAATGGCCGACAATAAAAAAGTGATTATGAGTTTTTGCTGAAATCTTTTTACAAAATTATCACATATACCTACTGTTAACAATAACATAAGCTTTTACAACAAAGTACACCTGAAATTATTTATAAAGCTACTAAAAAGTTAAAGCATGAAAACTGAAAAACACCATTCAATATGATACAAAGTATTATCGTGCGCTAACTTTTCTTAAAACATTCAAAATGGCTGACATGACTGAGCTAACAGGTCCAAAACCTAATCAGATCTAGAATGAAGTGAGCTGAACAAGATGTTAAAGTTTTAAAAGCAACTGTGAAGCCGTTTTTCTTAAAGTTTGCAGACAAGGATTTTAGCATTTGACTTCAAAATGGCCGACAGGAAGTAGGTATCGAGTTAATTTTTTTTCATCCACATCTGCATGCACTCATAAATTATCCCTGAAAATTTGAAGGTGATATCTGCAGCGGTTTTGGAGAAAACTCCCGGACGTACGGACGGACAGACAGACGGACAGACAGACGGACAGACAGACGGACGCGCCTAGGCCGACAATATGGCCCCACACTATGTGGTGGGGACATAAAAACAGCCCCCCACACTATGTGGTGGGGACATAAAAACGGCTGAAAATAAAAAGATGGATATAATTTTTCTCCGATTTTTTGTAACAAAATTATTTCATATATCTACCCTTTACATTGACATGGATTTTTACAATGTAGGACACCTGAAATTATTTGTAAAGCTAGGAAATGGGTCAAAAGTGAGTTTCACGAGACAAAAGTGGCGGCCATTTTGAAAATAGGTGAGCTTTTGAACCAGGAGTCATAGGGGAGTTTTCTGTATTGATGTTGAACAGAAATAACTTAAAACAGGAATCCTATCGACAGAGGTTTTAAAACGTGCCACTATTGTTGACGGACAGACGGATGGACAGACAGACAGACGGACAAGTGAGTGATTGCAAAAGCTCACCATGTGAGCTAATAATAATAATACCACATCATTGAATCGGTATCAAGATGGACAATATTATGATAATTATGTAAAATTAATCATGAGCTTCAAGAGATGAAGTAATCATTGTTTTCCATTCAGCAAAATGTCCCTATCATTTCTTTGTGGTGACATATTGGTCAAAGAGACAGAGGAGAAGATCGATGAATAGAAGAGTGAGTGATTGTGAAATAAATAAAATACAAATAAAAAACAAAGTCTGCTTTCTACTTCCATTTATTATTCTCATCTTGAATAAAATTACTATTTTCCCTATTTATATTATTGTATAATAGCCCACATATTATATAAATAACTTTAATATATTATGAATTACATTTACTTGCAATATTATCCTCATTGTATACATAGATTATACTGACTTAGACTGCAGGAAAATTACTTTAAATTACATAAACAGAACAAAGAACATAGAAAACAAAACACATTGTTCGTTGTTTGGCTTTTGGAATGATATTTTAATTACAATAAATAATAATAACTACGAGTATGAAGTCTTGTGGATTCTGATCAAAAACTTCATCGCAAACAAATGTCTGCTTTTGGTGATAGTTTGGCAAAAATTAAAAAAAACAATGGGTTGCAAAAATAAGAACATGTACTCTGATGCCTCTAATAAGTAGCAATACCATCTTTGGTAATAACATGGTGATATGCATTACACTAACATATGAAAATGAAATATAATATGTACAATTCAATGCACTTTACACAGTTCAACTACATTTGTTAAGAAAAAAGAGCTATTAACTATGCACCTCAAACATGCACTTTAATAGTCTCTAAAAACTCAATGTCTTAATTTGGTCTAATTCTACATATTAAATGATAATGTTCTCATAATTACCGCAGTGTTTCAATGTTACATGAAGAACATTTGATAACACTTTTGCACACTGTTACTGCACACTACAGATAGCCACTTAAAAACCACTACACTGTATTTCTATTTTGGTCATAAGATTGGTGATAAGCTAACACATTGATATCTTATCCTGTCGATTAAGATATAACTCGTTTACACTATTTACTTATTAACTCTTTTGATCGTTTATTTTGTTCATCAGTTTCGATGTTCGTATTTTATAATTTTTCATATATTTTCACATTACCTGACGTGCATTTTCAAAACATGTAATGATATAATATACTGACTTTAATATAATTTACTGAGACATTTATGGCCATTATGAATGACATAGTAAGATTTGTGCTGTCTGACTTTAGCTTATATTCTCCCTCAGTGACAATTTGACACAATGGTCACTCTAAAGACATTGAAGAACTTGATTTTAATTCCTTGTATACACTACAACCTGTATATCCAGACATCTCTCGTTATCGTTAGTTATCTCCCATCGACTCACATATTTCCAAAATATTCACCTGCTAATTCAAACACTTTTGGATTGTTTCAGTGGTGTTCAGGTGCTACTTCATTTGTAGTATGCATAGTTTTTTTCGAAATATGTCTCTATAGCCACCATACATGTAGAGTGTGCTATGCTTGATGATACCAGAGTATGGTATGACAATACAGAAGTGAAGCACATGGAACAGAAGTTCTCGATCTATAGTGTGACATGACCAATGATTGAATGAATTGCCATTTGCCACAGACTAGCCACTGTTAATGCAAAATGAATGAATATAAATGTCACTATAAACTCTATATTCATTGGTCATCACTATTCAGTGTTATCAATGATATATGAATAAATACACAATTCACTGGGAATGTAATATAACTTCAGAAATAATCGAGCTTCCACTTGATACAATATCCAAAATATTGCAATAGTATTTCCAGATCTTTGTCCCAGTTTCTCTTGGTACATGGTGAATGTTACATATGAGCTGGAGCGGAATTTTCCCCTGTTGTCTCAGGCATAATGTACGCAATATCATCCCAGGGATGACGGTAAAGTCCTTGCTTTAGACGCTTCTGGTCAAGGAAATGACCTGTAAATAACCATTTTATTTCAATTATTTTTCATGTCAAATTCATATTTTAAATCTAAGAGAAAGACTTTTCATAACTATCTAGAGAATTATTTCAATATTCTCATCTACATGTATGAAAAATCAACTCACAAAATCTTCTTGTTCAAAGTTTTAATACTCAGTATGACAATTTCCCCATAATTTCTCTAAAAACATTTGTTAAGGAGATATGGTGATTATATATTAAACTGTTGGTTGTTTTCATGTTAGACTTACCAATAAATCCCATACTCCTTCCCAGCACAAAGAGACCATTGAGAGCACCATTCTCCAGGCATTCATTAGCTTCCTCTCTGTAAGTGAAACATACATTGTTAAATGTAATATGATTCCCGATCCCATTCTCATAGAGATAGACATTTATTACCCAAAGGCAAATTGATATTATAAATTAACTCAATACTGTTCCATAGCTTCTGTCTGCAATCTTATTGATGATCTGGTAATGCATTGACTTGTTTTCCTAAAGATACCATTTATTTTTCTCATGTTTGAATACATATGTTTGACACATTATCAAAATGTTACCTTGTAAAGCATTCACTGTTACGTAGAAGATCTACCATGGCGACACCTATAAAGCCATCTACATTCAGAATGAGGTTAGGTTTCTGAAAAATACAAAATAGTACTATATATACTGTATTTTACAAAACAAAATAAAATATTATAGTTATACAACCTTTGCAGAATGTATATAAACTGATACTAGTAAACATTTTGTAGAAAATATTCATACAGTCACAGTTTAGGTCATGCACCTACAAAGTGTACACTATACTAGTCATTAAAGTATATTGATAGTAAATAGCCATACCTTTGATGTAGTTATTTTCTCCACCTCCAGTGCATAGTCTAATAGTGGAGTAGAGGGGAAGTTTTGCTTGACAAAGTCCTTCAATATCACCACTCTCTTGTCTGGGTTGTTAATCTGGAATAAATAGTATAAAAATATATAAAGAAAGTGTGGAAGATTTCATGCCAAGGCTGAATGAATGAATAATATACATAGTAGCCCGGACAGAATTGTCCAATGGTCACTTTTTCCTTAATAAATTTTTTAATTGTCAGTATTATCAAAATCTGATTACATATTATATATTTTTTAGATCTGTTTGTTTATTGATCTGTTAGCCCTAAATAAATCTCTGTAAAATTGAGGCCCAAGGTCATACATATGTCTGTCAGTATTAGTTCTTTGTGTTCCTTATCCTTGCCTTTGTGTTTTCTGAATGAGCAAATTTAGGATATACAGTATAAGGTATTGAACAAAACTTACAGATTTCACCCTATGTCCAATCCCCATGATGAGCTGACCTTTCTTCCTCATACTGTTGACAAACTCCATAGGAATCATACCAAGATCATAGGCCTCTGAGAACTGTTGGGCTGCAGCATCCAAGGCCCCACCAAACCTGTCACCCTGTAATCAAATATAGTAAGATGTACATAGGAGTCATACCAAGATCATAGGCCTCTGAGAACTGTTGGGCTGCAGCATCTAAGGCCCCACCAAACCTGTCACCCTGTAATCAAATATAGTAAGATGTACATAGGAGTCATACCAAGATCATAGGCCTCTGAGAACTGTTGGGCTGCAGCATCCAAGGCCCCACCAAACCTGTCACCCTGTAATCAAATATAGTAAGATGTACATAGGAGTCATACCAAGATCATAGGCCTCTGAGAACTGTTGGGCTGCAGCATCTAAGGCCCCACCAAACCTGTCACCCTGTAATCAAATATAGTAAGATGTACATAGGAATCATACCAAGATCATAGGCCTCCGAGAACTGTTGGGCTGCAGCATCTAAGGCCCCACCAAACCTGTCACCCTGTAATCAAATATAGTAAGATGTACATAGGAGTCATACCAAGATCATAGGCCTCTGAGAACTGTTGGGCTGCAGCATCTAAGGCCCCACCAAACCTGTCACCCTGTAATCAAATATAGTAAGATGTACATAGGAGTCATACCAAGATCATAGGCCTCCGAGAACTGTTGGGCTGCAGCATCTAAGGCCCCACCAAACCTGTCACCCTGTAATCAAATATAGTAAGATGTACATAGGAGTCATACCAAGATCATAGGCCTCTGAGAACTGTTGGGCCGCAGCGTCTAAGGCCCCACCAAACCTGTCGCCCTGTAATCAAGTAAACACCTAGTAATATAGTAAAAACTAGATTAGATTCCAAGGATCTTACAGCAAGCTCAATATACATGTGTATATAGAGGATAAGATTAAGCAGTTGCTAAAATGCTATTCGAATGAAACTACCATTGTACTGTTTTAAGAGTCAGGAAATCTATTTCCATACTCTGCACAGTGTCACACACAAGCAAACCTCAACAACTTCTGACAGATCTTCAGATCTTCAGATCAGCTCTTCTTGAATTCTCTTATGAACTCTCTTGTCATTAATAGACTTGGAATATTCCTTGGCATACTTACAATGGTGAGAAGACCAGATGTGAGACTAGAAATGAGATCTTTCCCTGCCCTTGCACACACTATGGTGTTGTGAGCCCCTGAGACTGCTGGCCCATGGTCTGCTGTGATCATCAGAACCATCTCCAGAAATTTGGAAGCATATGGTGGTATCCTAGAATATAAAACATATTGTGACAGTCGCTAAATAATATCTCCACACATATCTATTGAGTCTGATTTTAATCATTTAAAAATTACAGTTGAGTTTCAATTCATTTCACAAATACAGCATGTATATGTTTTGGGATATTGCACAATAAAATGAATATTTACCTTTTCTGGAACCAAAGCAGAGAGAGCACACCACCGATGCCCATGTCATCCTTGAAGATCTCACTGATAGGTACTCCAGCATAGAGCAACTCTTGTCCCCTCTCATCGCTCATACTGGTCATGAAGGAAGAAGGCTTGCGGATCAGTCCCAACTCCTATATAAAGAAACCATGATTTATGTAACACTATTCACTCCTAGCAGTCCAGGGACAGTTTGTCAAAATGGCACACCCTTAAGAGTACATGGAGTAGATATAGTACTCAATGAAAACACAATGATGCTCATTGAAAAATGGGATCAAATCTAATGAGATGGTCCAGACTAAATTAATAGAATTTTTTAAAAATCGAGGTTGATTTCATTTGAAATTTTGGCCATCTTTCAAGTGCAATCCTTTTTATAGTGTGGGTTGAAATGGTTGAATACAATGTAAGTTCATTATCTCTACATTGCAAAATCTTCTATTGCACTGTACAAGAGTCAAATATGCCACTGGAAATATCCTATACAAAGAATTGTTTGATGGAACCTTGTCTAATATTGGTTGTGTAATTGTAATTGAATTCAAGTGTAAATTTGAAGACTTACAGCAGCCCAGGAGTAATCCATAGGAACAGTGGGTGGAGCAACCTCTGGTTTCTCAATAATAATATGCTCTTCCACTAAGTGAGTATACACATCCCTTAAACACGAAATAATCAGAATAATAAAATAAATATTCACACTAAGCTTGGTAATGTAGGTATGATGTATAAAATTCCATTTAATCAGAAAACAAGAATTTAAGCACCTGACTCAATGAATTTTGAATGATTAAATGTCTTCTATCCTAACTTTTTAATTCAGGCGTAACTGTCCTCGTTTAATTTTGAAGTTTGAATGTAGAGTTTGCACAAAGTGAGTAATCGATGACATAAAGTCATAATTCAGTCCCTACTTGATCATACGTCCAAGTTCATCAAAGGTGCTTGGAACATGTGCACCTGCTGCCTTGAGTGCTTTATTCTTGGCAAGAGCTGTCTCAGAGTCAGCATTAGCAGAGGCACCTGCATGACCAAACTGGACCTAAAGATACACATATGAATTGATACAATTTTGAACATTCAAGTAAGTATAAAGTGTGTGTTAAGTTTGATTTTGTAATTTCAAGACAGACAAAACCTCAGCTCTTCAGTGATTTATAATCTTTTATGTTTTCCCATGTTGTGTTTCTTTTCATTATTTATATGTCGTTCAGTTATCAATGAAATCTGAAGGAGTAAATGTGAATGTCATCACAAGAATATACTGTATATTAAATGTTTTTTGTGTCTATAAGTTGAAAAGACATAGAAATTAGATCATTCAATTACCTCAGATGTGAACATCCTGGCACATGTTCCAATACACCAGGCTATTACAGGTGTGGTTAGAACACCACTCTTAATTGCTTCTACTATCTTGTATTCTTCATTTCCACCAACCTGCAGAATGAAAATCAAGTCAGAATTTGTTTATTTATCTTCTTCACATGTTTTTTATAATTGTTATATCATATAATATTTATATTTTCAATAAATTGAATTGAATATTATTTTCATGAAAAAAAGTATTTTTAACATTCCACTCAAAAGGCCAGATTGATAATTTATGAAATCGATAGATATTTTAATGAAAGTAATGTGTGTTTATTAGCCTGTGGAAAGTAAATCTAATTACATTTCATTAAACATCAAATAATGTTTAACTGAAATAAAGTTGGCTATGATAATATGAGCCATTTTTTTACATTGATCACTATCAATGAATCTTAATTTTTTGGAACAAAAACAACAACACTTACCTCTCCAAGGACGACAATCATCTTCACTTCTGGCTCTGCCTGGTAACGCAAAATGTGATCCATGTAAGTAGTTCCGGGGTATCTATCACCCCCAATTGCTACGCCCTCAAACACACCATTTGTGTTCATAGAGATAATGTTGTTCAATTCATTGGACATTCCCCCTGATCTGGATACATACGCCACACTGGAATGCACAGAAAATTTTTTATTTCAGGGAGTTAAGATTATAAAATATGAAGACTCAAAGTTCATGAGATAACTGAGTAGAATTTTTTTTATTTGATCTTGCTGATCAGACCATATCATTTTACCAGAATCTTTGACTATAGCTAAATTGTTATGACCCAGAGACCTGGAAAACATTTAACCAATCAAGACAGAATATCTCCAGTGTCCCATCACTGAACTCCTTACAGAACCATCTCAACTACCCCCCATAAAGAGCTGACCACAAATCATGACCCCCTCCCATTTGATAACCATCTTGTTTGACCTACCTGCCAGGTCTGTACAGCTTAGAGTTGAGGATATTATCCAGCATACCCCCAGTGTTGCCAATCTTGAAGCATCCAGGCTTGATACCCCCAACCTATTAAAAAACAAATATTTGTAGTTTACAGTACACATATTCACAAATATACAATAATTTATACATAAAGTTTATCTAATTAAAAACACAATGTAATCCTTTTCTATTCCTGTAAAATCTCTTACCAACATTTAATCATAATACATCACAAATACATGTAAATAGAATACAAGGTGGTTAGAAAAATCTAGGAATGGGCAACTAATACTCATTTAACACGCTTGATGTTTACTGAAAAACTGTCCAAAACAAGAGAACATAGGTATATTTACATCTTCAATATTGTTGGTGACATTCATAACTACCAAAGAGTCATATGGATATAAGGTAAGCGAAGTAACATCTTCAAAATTTTCACATTATTCCAAATGAGTAAGGAAAATGGGTCAATTTATCAGAGTGAAGAGAATGGGATACTCACAGTGGCTGGACCTATAATACTGACTCCTTTCTCATTGGCTGTCTTTATAAGTTTCCTGGTCATATTTTCAGGAATTCCTTCTGCTATGATTGCTATAGTACGAATCTGAAACAGATCAACAAAATATGAATACTATTGTGAAACAGGTAAGAACTCATAGCGACGAGTTAGATCTCATAGCAATATTGTTTTGCTTCAAGCCCTTGTGAACCACTACAAGCTATAACTCTTACCATATCTCTAAGACATACAACCTGGGTGAGTCCAGAGATTTGATGCAAGTCTACAGAATTCATAGCGGAGAATACTGATCTTCTTTTGATATTCAAATATACAAATTTTAGATGAATGGATTGATAATTTACTAATGTTTCTTATCTCATCAGGAGTTGTCTCACTTTTTTGTCACAATATCAAAATTGGATGTTCCCTTTTTCAGTTTTAATTTTGAATATTTCAGCATTTTAGATCTTCAATTACTTCTAGCTTTATTTGATCAAATATTATTCAGAAATCAAAATTAGGATTGTTAAGGAAAAATTGGCATGCATTCTGAAGATTGCATCCAATATTTTGCATTCTCTTAATTGCTCACCTGAGCAAACTGCAAGGCCTCCATAGTGCTGTCATAGCCAGATCTTAAAGATGCAAAGTTAACCAACACATCTGCCTCTGGGTGCTTCTTGAAAGCATCCTCCATCTTTTTATATACTGGAAAGCAAAAATTAAAAGATGAGATTAATTCATACAAAAGTTGATAATGATGAAAATATCTCTCTGGCATAAATGAAATGAGATGTCCAGATGTGGCCCAAAAGTTTATCATTGATTAAAAAATGTTACGATTAATGGAGAGCAATACTCACATGGTATTAATATTTCTTTGTGGCCCCAATAAAACTTCTGCTTATGGTCTCCTCTGAAAAAATCAGTACATATTCTTTATCTTACAAAACTCAACACAACAAGGCATTAATATGCAAAATATCACCACCTGCATTTGCTACAGATGCCAAACTCTAAATTCCAAACATCAACCACTGAACATTGTCCAAAGAATTTGGAGACTATAACCATGGGCTTGTTGTGAACATTGTCCAAAGAATTTGGAGACTATAACCATGGGCTTGTTGTGGTAACATAATGATTTGAGTTATTTTCATTGTCATAGTCTGATCTCTGCATGGTGGATTTAGTACCCATTTCAAAGTATCCATTTTTAGACAAACTCTGTTGATACTGACCATAAATCACAAAAAATTGGTAGTTTTCAAAAAGGGCTATAGTACATGGATATGTGTTGATATTTTGGTCATGTAGAAATATAACATACATTTCAGTTGATAAACATGGACAATTCATTGCTAGGTTTCCACTTGAACACTAAGATTAAAGTATTATTTACTTCACTTACACAAAAGGATATATCATAGCAACAACAGATGGGGTCTTCCTAGAGCATGAATAATCAAAATCAATCATGCCCTGCACAGCTCTGGACTGCATTCCCCATACAATGGCCCTTGTGTTGTTGGTGAACAGTGGCTTGGATGGTTCACTTGTTACTAGGCCATTTGCATCTGGTGTGATCGAGGTTGATGATCGTTTCTCTAGTTTTGTGAGATCGACTTCTGAACCTTTGCGGCTGCTTGCTGGGGATGGCTGACTCTGTAGATTGGAAACATGTCATATTCAAGGTAAAGTTTTTAAAAGTATCATACATTAGGAATTTGTAACAAGATGTTTATAAAATAAAAATTTACAACTGTCAGCAGAAGTCAGAACATGAATGCTCTGCCAAGATGAATACTGAACAGTGCTGTCACAAGAAATAGCATGCATTTTGCAAAATGAAGGAAGATCAATCGCATCAAAATAGTTTTTATTTGGCGATGTGGAATAACTCATAACATATCTGTGAAACATTGCTACAGTTGTTGACTATAATAGTACAGATGTTTAGCATTGACATGTCAGTATGATTGCAATCCAAAAATGCAAAAACAGATTAAGTCTTATATTGTTTTACAATCCCAAAAAAGTACCAAATAAACAAAAATAAACAAAAACAACCAATTCTGAAGAAACTCATGCATGTCAAATGCATAAACATGTCATTTTTGAGAATGCAGTGATTGTCCAAAGAAAATAAGTTTGTTGTGTAATGTGTATCTACATTAATTATAAGGATATAAGTTCGTTGCACATGGTTATGATACAGAAGCAACAAAAACAGAAAAAATGTTGATGAATATGTTACAGTAAAATAAATCCTTGAGGGCACAGAGTACAGAATTAATAAGGAAATAATATATCTCATACATATGCAGAAGCCTAAGAAAACATTTTTGGTATTGAACCATTATTTGGTGAATGTGCGACTGTGCATCAGATTGGGTTAACAACACAATGTTGGAAACAAGATGAGGTGAGAAAAGATAGTAAACATAGAGATTTAACTTATATTAGGACACTACGCTTACCTTAGGCTGTTAGCATAGAAAATAAATATATTTAAATGAATTACACATACTTGTAGCTCTAAAAATGTAATTTCACACTCATGTAAAGAGAGCAGAAATGTGACACTTTCAGATAAGAGCTAGATATTTGATGGAATAAAACAAAGTTAAGATGAACATTCTCTATTGTTCTCACTTTTATTAGGTGTTTTTAATTATCTATACAAAAAGTGATCAATTTGTTATGTTTCGTCATTCTTAATTACTCTACATATATGAGGTTATCAAGGTAACTTATTTCATACAATCTAAAATGTTGGCTAGTCTCACCTCTGATCCGGCTAGTAAGAAATTAGCTGTGGTGGAGCGTCCCAGTGGTGCATGTGTGGGTATCTCATTCTTCCCTAGGGCCATTCCAACAATAGATGTCATGTGTGTCTCTGGTCCAAACACATGTAGAGGAACACCAAGGTCTAAACCTGAAGTCAAATATTAAAATGTTGGGAAAATGCATTGTTAAATTTTTATTCTAAATTGCTAAACATGGCTTTGAACATTTGTTTATTCTTATCCAATAATGTTTCATAATGATACCATTCGACAATCTTCAAGTCTCATTAAAATATATCTTACTCCTGTTAATGTCACTGACGCATCAGATACACCCAAAACTGAAGTGACCAAACACCTTAATTATTATTTACCTAATTCTCTCATGACTTTAAGTCCACCCTGGTAGTTAGGTCCTCCCCTCCTTACATATATAGACACATTATATTCACTCAATTTCTGCTGGAAGTCTCTCAATGCACGAACTATGCCCTGAAATAGTTTTATAATTAATTGCTATCTATTTCAAATTCCAAACAACACATATATTTTTGGCTGCATGCGAGTAGTATTATATGGGAAAATTGGACATTTATACAATTCAATCAGAGCCAGCAAAGTCGCAAGGAGCACATATAAACTTATATAAAGATTGTTTTAAGGAAAGGGGGAGGGTTACATTTGAAATATTGAATTACTAATCTGGTTTGATACACTTATGTCAGAATTGTTTCTTACAGAAAAGGGAAATAGACTTCTAAAAGTGGCTGAAAGGCTCCACAATTATTTCATCTCATGGAACATACCTTAAATGTTGCTGCAACATTTGTGAAGTTTGCAATACCTCCTCCAATGATAAGTACTTTTCCTGGAAACACATATCATAAAATGAATAAGATAAATATTCTGAATGTTAGATGGGTAATATCAAAAACGTCTCACTTTGATTACTGTTCTTATGACACACAAGGCAACACTAGCAGCTGAGAAAAATATTATTTAATACTAACTAAACTTTATCGAGAAAATATGAATTTTTGTTTCACATATTGAAACTAATAGAAATAACTTGCCCGAAGTGATGTCATATTGTTGGGTTACCATAGTAACCATAATATCACCCAATTCAATGGTTGGATCTTTGGATCTAATCTTTTGTTAATAACCCAAAGTAAGTTTTAAAAAGATAAACACAGGAGTATTGAAATTGCAATATCTTTGTTAATACTTCTGGATAACCCCGTAAATACAAAGTGCTTTTCTTACCGTCCTTGTGTTTCTCTGTGGATGTCATGAGGCCAAGAAGTGTCTTAGCATATTCGAAGGTCTGCCCTTCTGTAGGTGCTCCGGAATATTCTCCATAGTTAGCCAGCTCAGATGCACCGCCCATGTCACATATGGTATCCCTTTAGCAGAAAAAATCACCATATATACTCTCCCTTGATAATGTGTTTCTTCCGAATTATCTTCTTCACAAGCCCGAGACATGGTTGCCATCTATTGCCACTTACAGTCACTTTATTTGACTGTACTGACGACTTACATGAGTTGTACATTAGACTTCAAAATACATCAGAGTTGATTTGTGAAATGTAAAACTTACGCATATATGACCGAAGCCCCACCACCAGCCACCATTGTCCAGATTCGACCATTTCTGTTCAATATTGTCAGCTTAAGAGAAGCACCACTCTTGGCATCTAAGTCAGCAATATAGGCCTCCTAGAAATACATGTATTGTATTTGAATCAATGAGCAATAGCTAGGGACCTGATTAAATATAAATGTGGGAATTTTTGCATTCAAATGACATTTAGTTGGGTGTTATATCAAGTTTTGCTTCAAAAATGCAATGAAAAAGTATATCTTGACCTGGCCCAATATTCAAAGTGTATCCAGGGTGATTCAGAAGTAAGATCAAAGATATTGCCATTTTTATTCTACTGGACCAACCATTTTTAATACTTGGTACAGATGTTTCCCTAACATCATTGAGTAACTACCTCAAGACTACGGATTCAAGTATTTTATTGGACAAAATCACGGTTGCTATAGTAACAGAATGTGATGTCACCAGGGGCAAAATATTTGTATTAGTAAAAAATGAAATAATCAAAATAAATATGATGATAACCTTGAACATTATATTTTTTCAAAATCATGAAAATTTTAATTCACAATTATTATGAAGATTACATCTAACTAATTACAACCATTAATTTAAAGCACCATTAATCATATATCTTAAAGGCTCAATGCTTCAACTGACCTCTGGTAAAAGATCTCTGCCAAAGGGGGGTGGGAATTCAATGTCCCCCCACTTGGATTTACACACAAACTCAGCACATTGGTCGATTTTGGCAGCTAGATCAAGCACATAGATCTTTCCACCAGTCAATACTGTAAAACAGAAATGGTACAAAATCAAGAAACGCATCTATTATGGACATTAATAAATTGCATCAATTCATTGTTGAATTGTCTCAAAAGCTATTGAGTTGAACTGTATGGCATTCTGTGTAAAAGAGTGACTCAAACAGTTTGAGTAATTTTACACATATTCCATTTCATAACTGCTAACTGCTAAGCTCCCCCACAAATTTCCAAAGAAATGGGTGACATATTTGCTAATGACATATGGTAGGATAATCGGTTAAGATATTTAAGTCAGTGTGATAAATTTGAAGAACACCCACTGTTTTCATACACATAAGAACATAATCTGAAGAAATATTTAAGATCGTCAGATTTCTAATATAAACAACAATAATTCATTAATAATATATAACACTGGGGATCCATAGAGAAATGTCTATGATTCACTTTCAAGATAAAATAGACATCCCGTCCTTAAGATTAAATAACATAAACACACAAACATACACAGGACTTAATAAATGAGATAAGCTCTGATAAAGCATTTGCAATAAGAATTTATGGTAGAAAACTGGGCCTTCGGACACTTCAATAAAGTACAGTTTAAAACCTGAGAATAAGTGGCATAAGTATTCTGTTCTATTTTTCTATATCACATTAACTCCCATTTTACTTGGATCTCTTAAAGTGAACACTTTTCTGTTCCCATTACATAATCTGCAAATTGTACTATTCACTTTAGAAAGGCTATAATTGCATAAACATATAGTATTACATACCTAGTGGGTTAATTTCCATGTAGGTGAAGTAAAGATCCAAATAAACTTTGTATAGAGAGGACACAAAACCACATAGAATTCTAAAATAAAAACAGGGAGTTAGTTTATTAAAATACCATTTTACACACAGCTCAATTGATAAAATTCTTGGTATTATTTATCATTTCAAAAAGCATGAGGGATCCATGAGATTAAAACCTAATTATAAAGAAGTACATAGACATTGTATATATACAGGCACTTGAATATGTATGAGGTCCTTCAATAAAATTAATGATGAATGATTCAATAAATCTACAACACTATCACAAGTAACATCTTGAATTACACATACATATTTCAGTGTGTTATTGGAAAATATTAAATGTACATATCTGGTATATTCATACTAGTTTGAGTTGTCCATTAATACATTCACTTACTGTTTTTTATCATCTGGTACATTTTGTAGTAGTTTTGTATTGATGTCTTCTGTACTGGGAGATGTGTCTATTGGAATGTCTAGTTTAACAGCCTGAAGTGGGAAATAATACACAAGTCTAACATCTATGGTTTCATTTAAGAAGTTGCAAAAGATACATTTTTAGATGAACATCTGATCATGAATCATGTAGTGTTGTCGCGATGTGCAATAACCGTACATCGATGTTCTGTTTCAGACATCAATGCACCACCAGAATCACTTTTAGCGATGAATATTGCGATGCATCGATCAATCGGGACAACGCTAGAATCAAGACCCTAAATTGATAATACTCATGATAACTTAGAAATGTATAAAATGATTGGCATTTGACATTTCTTGATCTCGGGTGTTTAAGTGTTTAATGTTGTTTTTGTGATGACCTGATTTAATAATTGATTTTTTGTAGTAAATACTTACATGTTTGGTATGAACCATTTAGTATTCAATAAAATACCTCATTAATATACACTCAATAAATACTATACACTACATGTGTATAAACACTTAATATGGTCTATTCTATATTGTTACATCATCAATTTAGCCTCCATAGAACCCATATGTACAACTGGTATGGTATTTATCACCCAAAGTTTATTTGCAATCCTTATTAGTTGGATTAAGTGATTTGTCATATCTTTGCAATTTTCGTAATGACTTGGGGTACAGCAAATATACTCTATCTCACAACTGATAATAATATGAGTTCTTTAGCCTACTATACTAATATAAAATGATCTACCATGATATTTTGATATTCCTTTTCGCAAATTAAAATAAGATATTTTAGCATATTTTGGTCATGAATATACAAATTTTGCCACAAGAGTTCTTATAATTCAGTGTTGTTCAAATTTGAATTTCGAATTCAAATTGAAACCCGTTGAGGGACAAAGACAACATTCAAAGCTACTTTTCAGCTTCATATTTCAATATATTGGGAGTGTGATTATATTCTTACCTTGGAATCTACATCTCCGATGTCTACCCCACCCTCATGGTGGAACAATATTGTGTCTCCATCTCTGCCAGATAGTATACAAATATAGAACTCTTCATTTTGTTCATGTGGTACAAATGGTTCAATTATAAATGTCTTTAATTTGCCAATGGCTGTTCCAATCTGAAAAAAGAATGACAGATAGAGGATATCCATAGAGTGGTGAAAATATGGGGTTTATCTTATACAGCTTAGATATTTTGTTCATATGGCACTACCATCTACAACTATATGGAGAACTTTCGTTTGCTTAAGACCATGCTGATGTGAAAACTACAGATGTTAGCGATTATTCACTAAGAGGAATGGAATATGGGTTTTATCCTATCTATGAGCAATAAAATATATCCCAAATGAACTAAGGATTTTAAATTTGTTATGATTTTTCAATTGTCAACTTGATGAAAATAGATTTTCAACACAAACAATCTTATTGACAAATCTCAACTGGGAATAATGGAAAGATTATTGAAAGGGCTATGTTATATTGTATAAATAGAGAGAAGGGAAACAATTGTTATTATAATGTTATTATTAGCAAGGTAGTGCAACAGAAGTGTAAGTTAATAAAGGATAATTAAATTACAGTCTATATTAATAATTATATGAATAATTACATACTATGCTACAGTATATAGGCAATATTAGTATTCTCCAAACCATACTTTCAACTGTCTTCACTTATCTTTACAGTTGAAAATATAGCAGGTCTTAAATGTCGAACATTTTTGACATTTTTATTAGATTTTCTACAGAAATATAGAATTACAATTTTTTTTCATATCGGAAGTTGTTGTTGTTGTCATTTTTGCATGAATCAATATTCTATGTCCCCTGGAATCGTTTTCTCTACTAAGGTTTAGGAAATAGAGAATATCAAAGAACGCCAAGAACTATTGTTATTTGTGAGGGCATATAGGAAATCAATAAAAATGTGTCAATAGTTTACACAGTCTGGGATTAAAATAGTTTCACAGAGGTGACAATTGATCTTCATGGAAATAAATCTTCTAAATCGTTCACAATATCCAATATTCTGTTTTCCATTGATTATGATTTCTCTGGTACTGTATAAATGTAACAGAATGTTATTAGTAAATGATTGTAGACACTTGTATATACACCCTGTGGAGAAAGTGGGGGTGCTGCGTAATTTGTAATCTACAGAGACAATAACAAAACATGGAAATCTTTATACATTTTCTAATATAAGATAACATTGATTACTGATAATCCCCATATATAACCAACACAATTGATAATCCCCATATACGACCAAGTCAATGGATATTCCCCATATACGATCAACACAATTGATATTCCCCATATACGACCAACACAATTGATAATTCCCATATGCGACCAACACAATTGATAATCCCCATATAGGACCAACGCAATTGATAATCCCCATATAGGACCAACACAATTGATAATTCCCATATACGTCCAACACAATTGATAATCCCCATATACGACCAATACAACTGATAATCCCATTATACGACCAACATAATAGATAATCCCCATATACGACCAACACAATTGATATTCCCCAATATACGACCAACACAATTGATAATCCCCATATACGTTCAACACAATTGATAATCCCCATATTCAACCAACACAATTGATATTCCCAATATACGACCATCACAATTGATAATCCCCATATATACGACCAAGACAATTGATAATCCCCATATACAACCAACACAATTGATAATCCCCATATATGACCAACACAATTGATAATCCCCATATATGATCAACACAATTGATAATCCCCATATACGACCAAAACAATTAATAATCCCCATATACGACCAACACAACTGATATTCCCCATATACAACCAACACAATTGATAATTTCCATATCTGACCAACACAGTTATATGTTGAACAGTCCAAGAAATACAAGATACAAGATACAATCTCAATACCATGAGATCAATAATGCCAAGATATATTGGCTTCATTAGATCACATTGACCAAAAATCCCACACTTCATCGAACCTTTTCCATTGGTTAAATTTCCCTAACTGAATTTGTCCTCTCGATAATTGGATAATAGTCCAATTGCAAGTAATAGTTCTATTTATTTGGCAGCGTATTAACGGAATGTTTGAATGTCTCCAGAGATTTACATTCTAAATCTATATCTTTGATCAAATTGGAGTGTATTGATTTTCTTAGGCAAATAGAGTTTTCCGGATTAGAATTCAGATGTTCATTTCACGGAAGATTGGCATTGTAATCCTGTGACAACAGTCTTATTCGGCGGGGGGGGGGGCTCTCTACTCTTGTTCTAAGATGTTGAAAATGTCATTAAGAATGCATGATGGATGTTAATCATTTAAAGATATAAATAATGTGAGGAAATAGTAAAAGATAATGTTACACAACGAAAGGCATCAGTGCACAATGTAGACATAATACAGGATGTCCTATCCAAAAACAAATGCTGTTTGATTACATTAGAGGGCTAATGGCTGTTATTCTAATCTTATTTTAATTCATTATGATATATTTAATTCACACAAACTATAGACTTGGATGTAAAGATTTTCTATGATTATCGGATTGTTGAAGAAAAAATGAACTAATCACCTTTTAAAATTCAACTTTAACTTGTCATACCGCTTATACACTAGGCGAAGAATATTTTTTGTTGATATTTTTAGAAAAGAAGTTCTATATTACCCCTTTAAGAATGGATGAAATGCAAGTTATCATGTATCAAATGCTTAATCGTAAAGAACATACCAAGTATGGGGGAAATGATATGACAATATATCGGAAATCTGTCTCGTTTAATGAATGAATGAGCTCTTGTGAATACTAAAGATCTCAATTAATATTTTGAGACTTTCATCTCTCTAAATTAAGCTTATCAATTTAATTAAGCAGTGCAGATTTATTCTTCAGAAAATATAAAATTCTTTCTCAGTATATTCTGCTCTTACTGGTAAGTGGTAATCTATATTATTTCATATTATAAATCAATAAACATTATACTCGTAAACTAACAAAAGGAAGCCTAGGAGGGACAGCCATACCTCTTGTATATTTGTTCTTTTTTATTTTCCTCATTCCACACTAATCAAGGGGAACCAGGTGTTGATTTTTCCTGAGTTAAACATTTCTAAAATCCCTTTAGAAATTTTTACCATTTTAAAGGTTTCATTTGTTGGTGTCTGTGCATTTTTGAAGTGTCTGACCAAATTGCATTTTATATTGGTAATATATTAGTAAGACGGGGCACCAAAGTACATAACCCTACAAATTATGATTGCTGTTGACCCTTTGTTGTATTTACTTACTTTAAAGTCTTGATTGATTCTAGTAGAAAGCCATTCTTTAACACCAGCAAAGTCTGTGTTCACTTTAATTAATCCAAGCTTGCCTCGCCTCTTAATCAACTGGTCAGGCTTCACTACAAGTTTCTGGAAATATAAAACATTGCAAATTACATTAATTAATTTGATTTTTTCAATGAGAGCATTGACTCAAGAGAAAATCTGAAAAAATCGAAAGGAAAATTTCTATATACTTACACTATTTCAATGTCAACAGTGATCTCCCAAGGATTTTTTCTCAAGTGGGTGCAAAATTCTCATTTTCACAATTCACACTGAAATTGCTCAAAATTTGACCATATTTCATGATTTTTCTCATTTTCAAGTGGGTGCAAATGGATTTTTAGGTGGGTGCAAGCCTGTTTTTAAAATCTTAAGTTGGTGCTGCGCTCACTTGCTTTAATGCTGGGAGATCACTGGTAAATAATAAAAACACGATGGCAAATTCACATCAGTAATAGGATTTTGCATCATATAGGTCTGAGACTAATTAATTAAGATGAGGGAGGGAGGATCAACATCTAAAGGGGTATGGGAGAAATCTTTGAAAATATTGAATGTGTAATAACTATCCTCTGAACACATGGATCCAGACATCATTTCCTGTATTCCTGTAAGTCAATATTGTCTAAAACAGAACAGAATGACTGTTGTCTGGAACCTGTATTCAGAAAACAGAAATGGTACACTTCAGAGTGTTATTTCAAAGCTACATGTACATGTATTTAAATATTACATTTGTATTTAAAGATCACAGCTGATTCACTGACATATGATGTGATTACTTCAATCATTTTGATAACAAGTTATTATATAAATCATGAGTATGTGACATGATATTTTACAATCAATTAAAAATAAGTGTGCCACTATTATGTTAACTCTTTAAGTTGGAGATATGTGGTGGGCATTATGCCTATACAGGTTAATTGTCCCCGGGTAATTGGCTGTTTCAGCTTAACTTTTTGGGGAAAAGAGATGACCATTTTTTCTTTAATAAATATCTAGCTGAAAAGTGGTGAAATCCTCATAGGTCTAGAAAAAGTCTTTGGTACAAGGGGGAGTAACATGGGTAGGAGTATTTAGCAAATATGGGCCGTATAAAAGGGTGAAGCGACTCAGTGCTTAAACTGACATATAGCTGATACCAAGCTTTGATCAAAAATAGAATATTGATACTTTGAATTGATTTCCACAGTAACCTCTTGAGAAGATTGTGTACATGTAATTAAAGAGAACCTTTTATAATTAGGGTTAATGGAGACACTAAGAAATTAAAAATTTACCTGAGTTTTTAAAGAACAACCAACCCATATGAATGATAAATGATGACCTTTAAGGTGTATGGTGACTTTTGATAACACATAATTTAGCATTAATCAAATAGATCAAGACAGGCTCTTGACATAACTTGAACATGATTATGAGAAATTAAAATGAGATAAAGTTACATGTAAATTATGTTCTTCCTTCCTGTGAAAATGTTTTATGAAAGTACTTTGAAAAAGGAAGATATGAATCTTAGATACGCTTGGCATATGTGCAGGAAAAAATTGATGTATTAGTTAATAATCAATAGTAGACTATCAATTGTACGAGTACATGTATATGTATATATATGGTACCTTTTCTATCAGTAAGAATATAAATCTTTAAACAAATTTTGAAGTACATTCATTTAAGAGAAACTCAGGATAGGTGTGGCAATTTTTAGTAGTCCTTCTATGAATCGTATTTTAAACATCAAAGCATTAATTCATAATCTAATAGGTAACTTTTTACTGTTTTTCAATTTTGAAATGTTAAGTTTAATAATTCTAAACTATAGAGTAACAGTTCTATATGAAAATATCAAAATCTAAAATATCTTGAAATAAATAGAGGTTATTTAATGGGAGGGATGGAATATGAATTTCATTTCGAGGGAAAATATGATATTTTCCGGGGCCAATATCATATTTTCTCAAGGAAAAAAATCATATTCCATCATGACCATCAATAACCTATTTATACCATAATATTTTTCTGAAACTTGTTTTGTATGTCGTCACCCAATGATGGTGGCATTAAATGTGAAATCGAATTTATCGAATGACATTTTCAACTTTTATTAACAAATTTTAAAATAGAAATAATGTATAATACTAAAATGGATCGTTATATGCCATTGTAAAACAATAAATGTATTAAGTCTCATGAAATTTTCTGATAGTTCTGATACGGGATCTGATACGGGATTTGGCTGATACAGGATCTGATATAGGATATTTTGAATATTAATTTTATTCCCTGTTATTTTCCTGTGGAAAACATGTTATTATGGAATAATGTAGCATAATATTAAAACAATCATTACCTCGTCAGATTAATTTGGAAAAGAATAACTCTTTATGAGAATTCATAATTTTAATACATTGACAAAATAGTTTTATATTGATTTGGGCTACATGTTTAAGTTATGGATTTGATACATGTATAAGGTTAATATTATAAGTTATTGAATGATTTGAAGTGCAATACAGGATATATTCTGCTTGAGAAATTCTGTATTGGAAGTCAAGTGACAATACAGAAAATCAAGACAGAATATATCCTGTATTGCACTTCAAATCATTCAATAACGTTTTTATCGTGTGATCCTCTGTATTGCTACTGAGATTGTCCCCTCCGTACCAATAGTTTCTGTATTGCGACGGAGATGATCAACAGGGACAATCTCAGTAGCAATACAGATTGGTACAGCACAAGAACTGACCAATCTGAGGGCTTCATTTTATCAATCATACGATAAAACTGTTACTTTAAGATAGAGGGAATTGGCCTAGTTGACCATCCCTTTGAATTGGAATGTTTGAAACCCTATTCATTGCCAAACTTAGTAAACATTTACTGTTTTTTTTCCTGAATTAGTCCTATCTTATAATTGTTAAAACGTTTTAGGACCCTAGTCATAGCCAAGATGTCTAAGCTTTAAAACGTTTTACAACCGAGTGTAAATCCATCAGTTTTAGTTAAGAGCTCTTAGCCCGTTTTTTTTGCGTTGCGCCGAACGAAACATTTGAAACTTTCCATTTACATATGTCGCATGGTCCTTTCTTTTGTCTTATCCCTTGTTCCCAATATCATCCCAAAATTATTGAGAACTTATTTGCCTGGCGATTTATCATAATCGTAATTTGTGCATAAAAATCTTCCTGCTCTCTTTCATGCTTTTAACAATGCTGTCTTTAGGACATATTTTTGTGAAACCGATGCATTCTTTAGTACAAAGTAAAGAAGTGGGAAAGGAATAGCTATATTGACAGAACCGTCCTTCAACCAGTACTGAACTGCTTTTTTCATTTTACATGTATACCACCTACATATCTCTAAGACGTTTTAGAAAAACAGGTGTAAACTCAATCATATTTCGTAAGACATCTTGAAAATGGTGGTGTAAACTCAACATAATTTTTCTATAACGTTTTAGCCAAGACGTCTTGGAATGCTGCGTGTAGTGTAAATAGGGCTATTATGCTACAATTACAATATTATAAGTAATAAAAAATGTTTGAAGGTGATTTAATTCAATTTTACTCAAAGCACATTTTAATTGTCAATGAACTTTACTTAACCTTAAATAAATAAAATGGCTCAATATGTTTCAACCTAGATTGGATAAAAAATATACAACTGATTTGCCTATATAATTATTGGTACATTTGAATACAATAAACTATACAGTTTTAGTACTAACTACATGATTGTGATTGCAAATCTACAAGAATTAGCAACATTTATACAACAAAAATGTGCTAAGTCTATCTTCCTAATGGATGGTTTAGGCCCACAAGTATTATTTGTCTGTTTTGTTATATATGCCAGATCATTCAATTGATATTCAAATTAACAAATAAATTATTGTAATTTTTGTGTACAGGGTGTCAAAAACTGCACCCCCTCTACCCTGTAATAAAAAAAGAAGAAAACCTGGTACTTTTTCAAAAAAGTGCTAAGTCCTGCTAAAAGTCCTGCTAAACAAACAACTGACCTACAGAGGCCTTAATAGTTTAAGCAAAAATCACTTTACCTCTGTAAGGAGCCAGGGGTGTTCTCTGGCTAAGTTCTCGAAGTCTGTATCTGAGTTAACGACAGCGCACCTACTGCTGACATTGCCTGCTTCACCTAGGAACTCATTCAAATACCTCTTCCCTGTTGCTTCATATATTGCCTTAGCAGACATCTTGGTTCGTTAGTAATAGTGCTGCAATAAAGAATTTCAGTTTTACTACATTTTACCCTGTTGCTTAGTCTTAATATAAGCCCATGATGTAACGCAGGTAATTCAGAATATATCTGTCCTTGATGCATGAGATCACATGATTTAGTATTATTGGTAGCTTCTAAATTGGGTTATAGCAGGGGGAAGAAGGAAGTATGGATTCTGGACACCTGCTTAGGAGGATGTGATGATCCAGGTCATCTTGGTTTTCCAAGAAATAAAAATCAACCAGAAAGTGAGAATGCCCTGAGATAAACTTTTCCTCCTTGGAACATACATGTATGTATGCAAAATATAACTAGACTTGTATGTAAGCCTTGACCTATTTTGTAGATCTTTTCATTAGACTGTTTACAATTGGAGTAAGGAGTTGTATACTGTTTGATTAATCTGGACATGTTAATAGAGACACGGAAATAAAGAATAAAAGAAAGTAAATAATATAAAGCTCAAAGCTACGATTGTTTTAGATCAAAATGTCATTTGAAATGCCTGTATTGATTTGCTGTTAGTAAACATCATTGAGAAATTGATTTTTGAAGATACATGTCTCTTATGATCCCAAGGGTGTGATTTCTGTAGGACTGATATCATTCATGAATTTACAGGGTTTGATTTGAGCAGTGGCAAGTAGCAAATACATTATTGCTATCTAAACACAGTATTTGAATTTGCAACTTGTTCTTATGACTTGTATGGTAAATACAAACATTTACTAAGTAGTCAAAATGTTAGCTCAGACCATGGGCTTTCAACTAGAAGGGTAGGCAACTTCCCATATTTCATTCATATATTAAGTATTGCCTTTGAGTTTTCAAAATTGGAAAATGTACACATTCCAAGAAAATCTTATTTTGTACTTTTATGGATGATTTAAAGAATTAACTCAAAAAAGAAAACATGATTATCTAAATACATGTGGATATTTTAATAAAAAATGGAATACATCATAATTATGACAATATAGAAAGTGAACATTCTCCCACAAATTATGTTTTAATTGGAATGTGTTCTTGAATAATTGTCTTTTCCATGAGATTGAATTATTTTATGCTTTAATCATATTGAAAATTGATTTTTATTCAAAACAATATTAAAAAATGTGTACAAAATGTCCTCACCAATGGGTGATCCTGTCAAATGGTTATCCTGAAAATGAGTAGACAAGACTTTACCAACACAATTTGAGGACGGAAAATCCAGAAAACATGTAAACAAGACTTTACAGACAAGATTTTAGGATGGAAAATCCAAAATGGCTGCCTTGAAATTTACCCAAAATGTCAAAAAACTAATCTGTTTCTAGATTTTCATACTAAGAATCATCCCTGAAAATATGAAATTGATCTACCGAACAGTTCACCTGAAAACGCGTAGACTTTACAGACAAGATTTTAGGACAGAAAATCCAAAATGGCTGCCTTGACATTTACGCAGAATGCAAAAAAACTAATCAGATGTAGATTTTCATACTAAGAATCATCCCCGAAAATTTGAAATTGATCTACAGAACGGTTCACCTGGAAATGCGTAGACAAGACTTTACAGACAAGATTTTAGGACAGAAAATCCAAAATGGCTACCTTGACATTTACCCAGAATGCCAAAAAACTAATCAGTTTTAGATTTTCATACTAAGGATCATGCCTGAAAATTTGAAATTGATCTACTACATATCAAATATTTTCCACATTAGAAATGATTATGTATAATGATTATCTAAAGTGTCCCATAAGCCTTTGAAGGCTGGGTGCACTCTCGTTTGTATTGATTATATATGTATGTGAAATTGTGCACGAGACACTGAAATAAACAAATACTTACTTACTTACTTACTAAACGGTTCACCTGAAAACGTGTAGACAAGACTTTACAGACAAGATTTTAGGACGGAAAATCCAAAATGGCTGCCTTGGCATTTACCCAGAATGCCAAAAAACTGATCAGATCTAAATTTTTATTCTAAGAATCATCCCTGAAAATTTGAAATTGGTCCACCAAATGGTTCACCTGAAAACGCGAAGACAAGACTTCACAGACAAGATTTTAGGACGGAAAGATCAAAAATGGCCGACAATAAAAAACTGATTATAAGTTTTTGCTTATTTCTTTTTACAAAATTATCACATATAACTACTGTTAACAATAACATAGGCTTTTACAAGAAAGTGTATCTGAAATTATTTATAAAGCTACTAAATAGTTCAAGTATGAAAACTCAAAAACACCATTCAATATGATACAACGTATTATCGCGCGCTAACTTTTCTTAAGACACTCAAAATGGCTGCCATGACTGAGCTAACAGGTCCAAAACCTAATTAGATCTAAAATGAAGTGAGCTGAACAAGATGTTAAAGTTTTAAAAGCAACTGTGAAGCAGTTTTTCTTAAAGTTTGCAGACAAGGATTTTAGCATTTGACTTCAAAATGGCCGTCAGGAAGTAGGTTTTGAGTTTTTTTCATCCACATCTGTATGCACTCATAAGTTATCCCTGAAAATTTGAAGGTGATATCTGTAGCGGTTTTGGAGAAAACTCCCGGACATACGGACAGACGGACGGCCAACAATATGGCCCCACACTATGTGGTGGGGACATAACATGTACATTTATCTAATACTTTTTGAAATATTACCATAAAAGGGAAGCACAGTATTGCTCATTTTGAAGGTCTCATGTTTATTACACAGAGTTGCATACCCTACTTAGTTGAAAGCCCATGCTCAGACTTTGAACTTGTTCAATTTCATTTCTAAACCAGTATGACTGTTTGTTTGAAAACCTTATAATTTGTATATCGTAAAGCCAAAGAATCCATATTTGGTATCAAAGATGAACATCTCTCTTTTCTCCAAATGAACTAAATATAAGGACTACTAATGCATCATTTTAAACTAAAGAGTTATTCTCTTTTCGAAATTATCATTGTTTGTATCATATATTACTACCCTTTTCTGGTAACTTTCTACTATTTCAGAAATTGACATTTCAATCTATAAAACAACTGATTTGTGATAATAATAGTTTGTATATAATCACAGGATGTGTCCTGGGGAGACATGTCTTATTTATCCCACTTTGAGGTGTTTGAGGTAATAAGTAGGTTAACTTTGAAATACCGTAGTTGTATTTTCATCAGCAGACAGGGCATAGCTTTACATCCCAGCTGAGCAGTGAGATATATTATTTTGCATTAGCAATAGTAAAAAATTCAGGCAATTGCAATCTATTTGATGATTTAAACAAGAGAAGGAGCATATTTTTTCCCTGTTTCTGGGATCAAGATTCAAAAATATACATGTGGACAAATATATGCAAGGAAACAAAACTGACATGTATAATATACCTGCCTGAGGGCCATAGGCCTCAGGATAATCACAATATCCGGATTACAGCACATATAATGTGTCAATTGCGTTGATATTTTCCAACCTCTAAATAAAATATTTTTGTGATCATATCCCAAAAAGATGATGTTAGAATGTTTTATCCATGAAATCAAATTCTTTTACTGTGCATATGATTTGTCAAATATTTGTATCCTCCTGCACACATAAACAATCATTGTAGCGTTATTTGTTGAAAATTGTGCTAATGCCAATGAGTGCCTTTACCTAGTACATTTCAAATGATAGACTACGAAAATATTGTTATTTCTGTTGTGAATTTGTGCTGTCAAATATTCGGTATTTTCCAACTATTAAAATATCAGTTATGTACAAATCTAATTTCGAATTATCATTTTGAGAAATAAAACATTATGAAATTAAACAAATGCAAAAAAAGTAATGATTGTTATATAAATTCTTAATAATTACATGTATGAAAAATACATGTGTTAGCATGTGTCAACAGGAGGATACAAATATTTGTCAAATCATCTAGTAAGCAAAATCCACAGAGAACTATTTACTAGAGGTGTCACACTGACCCAAATCTCCACAAACAACTACATGTAATTACAAATTTCAGGTCAGAACACTCAGAAATATCGGAAATTGTCGGAAAACATATACATATTCCCAGCAAAAACTTCTAAATATACATTCTTCCCAAACAATTTAATGCTTCGTTTTACCTTTATATGCTTATTGAGTCAAGGCTTGCTCTATTGACTTCTTTATTTTCTAGACGAATTCCTGTGCTTTGTTTCTATAATTTTCGTTTATTAAAGCATAATAATGTTGTTTCAGTTGCGACTAATAAATTTGTTTTAATTTTTTCTTCTGACCCGACCCGAAATTACAGTGAGTGAAAGAACACAAACAAAAAACGATACAAAATCTGTAAATTAGCCTATAGTCTAGTCAGTCTTAGACGTGGATCCACGGCTCTAGTGACTTATTTGACTATCGGAGTTTTGATAGGGTCACTAGAGCCGTGGATGCACCTGTATTAAAATCCTCAAACTTCAGAAAAATAAATTTTTTTTGAACCCAGCGCTACTTTGGAGTTGATTTCTTTTGATTCCCATTTGTTTTTTTTTAATATATTTGTCCCAATGTAATGTTATATGATAAATTGTTAAACTTACCATACAAAAGTTGTTATGCACGATGTAATTGCGCTGATACTATAGGAAAATCATCACTTTATAAATTATTTCAAAATTTTCTATGGCGGCACGAGACTTCGCGAGAAGAGATAGGTAATTCCCTAATGTATACGATGCCATCTATTTTACTACATAAAGTTCATATCAATCAGACTGCAATATTCAACAGTGAATCCCCGGGAGTGAATCACACATGTTGAAGTTTAATTAAGGAATTCTCATTATAGACAGTGACTTTTATTATAGTTTCTAGTTTTAATAAGGAATACCAAACAGAGATAGTGACTCTTAATTGTTTAGACCATATGCAGATTAATTTAGTCACGTGACTTGTGACATCACGCATGCGCATAAATTATGTAGGTCAACTCAATTTTGAGAATTCGTTCGAATTTCTCTAACCTGAAAAATGCAAAGACACTTCTTGATATAATTTCCACGAGAAACATGATTACAACTAGGGTCAATTTGAAGACAAACAACGTCGCTACATAGTGGTCCAAAAAATTTAAAGATTAAGGTAAGGAGCTCCGAGAAAAAGCAAAAACAACCGATCCGTTGTTTTTCAGAATCTCAACTTGCCTAGGGTTTTTTATGCTTGGTGATGCGCCTCTGGGGCCATGACAAATCTCAGATATATATATAAAGGCCCAGAGGCGCATGAATGCACCTAAGTCAGTCTAAACGTACTCATAGAAGTATTTCATGAGTAAGAAATATAGACTAAGCTTACTGTCTCTTATTTATATTTACCATCAAAGCCCAATGAAGTAAGTATCAATTAAATTTCAATGACATTAAATAAATGATGAAATGCTATTCACTTTGAGAAATTGACCCCCTCCCATCCTAATCAACCACCACATGAAATAATTTGTAAATCAAAACAAAGTTTTAGTACCTTTCTATAATGGTGCTAGCTGTAAAAGTATAGGCTAAAATCTCATGCCTCCGGTAAATATTCATTCTTGAAATACTAAAGAATATTTATATCAAAATCTTACCTCAATCTGTGTTGACAATTCTGAGAAATCGAAGTTTGAAGTTAGACAAATATATCACACCACCACACACGCATCGGCTGATGTGGAAATGACATTTGGTGTCCTTGAACTTTCGTAACTTTTTTTTGTATATTAAAATATCTAAATACCTTAAAACATATGCATTATTTATTTTTGATATATAATTACAACATAGATAGCCGGAATATTCATAAGAACTTACTTTTTAGAAAAAGCTAATTGGGCTACCTTAAGCTTTACCCATCGTGCAACTTAATTTTAACCGCCATTTAAAAAGTGCCCGGATATAAGTGCAGCGTGACAAAATGACTGACGGAGTAAGTTTAGTGTATATCATGTATATCTCTTGCAGTGAATAATGCACAACATATATATCTATATAATTACATAGTAGATTTTTTTCTCTACATTTTGATACCAAATATGTACAAGTTTGATAAAGTCGCTTCTTACTATTTCAGGACAAAGCAAAGGAAAGTGTCGATGAGTACATCAAACTGAAAGTTCTTGGACAGGTAATAATTTCTCATCATGTATTGTATAAAAGAAGGCGAATAACAAAGAAAAGAGATCGTTCTTTATCTGATTTGGATTGCTGGAGTATGTCTTGTCAATTTATATGTAATTTGCTTTGCAGTAATTACTTTTACATTGGTTTGAATTATTGTCAAAATTGAAACAAAAACAAAGGAATTCACAGCACTTCTTGTGATTTGTCTTTGACCTATGACTGCTGACCTATACTGGCGATTACTAGAGTGCTGCTAACTCGATAAAAGGCTGGCGCTGGCTTGAATTGTCTATGGTTCTAGCCTGGATAAAGATACCAGTTCTTCAACTCGACAATGGGAAGAACTGCTCTAGGGCGAAGGGGTGTAACGTCGACACCGTTTTGGGGTAACTTCGACATGTGGGGTAACTTCGACACCCTGTTGTTTATTTGCTCTAATTTCTGATCTAGGGGGAAGCCATGTTTTTTTTCTCGCATGGATTGAGATCTCGCGAGATTTTAATTTTTTCAGAAATCAAACACGGCGGAAAACGGAAATTCTACTTCTAATACGTATGTGTCGAAGTTACCCCGTCTATTATGTCGACATTACCCCACACGTCGACATTACACCCCTTCGCCCTACCTAAGTGACTAATATGTCATGATATGACATCTAAAGAGTCGATAAAAGATATATATATACACCATTTTGCTGACATCATCAGGACCAACTGCCTTACAATTCCCATTACTACACTGTAGTTCTAAGTAGAAAAATACGAACTCAATTCATTGTTAAAATGTGTTACAGAAACAGGTGTATTTCTTTGCTGGGCCTTATTATCATTGTTGTTTTATGTTACTTAGGTCCAAAGCCTTCTCTATTTCCGGCTTTGAGTGATTGTTACAGCCTTAGTAATTCAATATTTCTAAATCATGGTGACACACGCACAGTTGTAATGGCATAATATTATATGAAACATACCTTTATTCATACATTTGCAGAATATCAGCTGCTCATATCCCCGTCATATATATTTTATTAATTAAGCTAAGTGGAATTTCATTTCAAAAATGGCCTCCATTTTTCTGCTGAGTGAGCTGTATAAATGGCGGTATAATCCTTGAGTTTGAGGTTCTTTCCGAAAAGAAATTTTGAAATATCTTAATCCAGTCAAGCAATGCTTCAACCTCAATATAATTAATATTCTAATAAATATTTATAAAACCTATTTAATTGGAGATCTAGGTGCATGTGACAATTTTTCTAGATTACATACGATATCAATGAAGTTGCATTTAGCTGTAAGCTAGAGACTCGAGTAAGTTTTATGGGTCTCAACAGTACACAGAGAATTTAAGAAACCCTTGGGGTTCATTTCTGGCTTATTTTTGCGACTTAAATTATACATTGTAACCATATTTTGCAGGACCAAAGCGAGGTACATTTTAAAGTAAAAATGACAACACAGATGGGTAAACTAAAAAGAACATACAGTGAACGACAGGTTTGTTTGTTATAAGGGAAACCTAATGCAAAATCAGTTTAAATCTTTAGCAAACTACTTGTGTAATGCATATTAAGTCCATTTCAATGTTTTATTACAGTCCAAGATCAATATCGTCAATGACAACAGAATCTGAATTTGGGATAATTTACAAAGACAACAGCATATGGTAAATTATATAAAATTCAGATTCCGTTGTCATTGACGATATAGAAGACGCTATTATTGTGGCGATTCACGACCCAATTTGATTGAAGAGTGTATGACTGATATATATGAATGTATGGATAATTAGCTCTTATAAATCAAACTGTTTCATTATTCTAACAAATTGGTTAATAAGAGATTTAGGGGTGTAAAGTGGTTTAAATATTTAATCAAATACCAATTATTCTACATTGTTTCTCTTACTGACTAGTTAAAAGTAAGATGTCTTTTTAAAAGATTAAATTGGTCTATTATAAATATTTCAACTGTGTCAATATATGCTCTTATTTTTTCTGAATCTTTAAGGATACAAAATCGACCAAAAGAATTGGCAGAATTATTGAAAATTGAAAACCCATTATTGAAACATAGAAACATTTACAAAATTTGTCAAAGCACTGTTTGCTAGTGAAAAGCTTGGCAGATGAATCCATATCATTTCAAGTAGAATTTATTTCTCAAAAGCAATATCAAAGTATTTTACTTATTTATTAATATCCGCTTTTTATTATTATTCCAGGGTGTCCCATCAAACAGTTTACGATTTTTGTTTGATGGAAGGAGAATAAATGATGATGAAACACCAAAACAGGTAAACAAACATCATTATTATTCAAATTCTATTGATTCCATTCTTTGTCATAGATTAGCATATACTTGTCTTCTTAATAACAGACCTACCATGGCCCTTAAATCTACCATATTTTTCAAGGGAATTTGACAAGTCTGGCCTTGATTATTGGAATCACACTTTCTTTTACTCTCAGTTTCATGGCCAGGAAAATGTATTTAACCGTATGAACGTTGGGAACTGATTAGTTTTGTACATTATGAGGAAATGTTAAAAGTGACTTTAAAAGACTATCTACAAGATCAAATCTGATTTATTGCATCTCAATTGATATTTTATTACTCTGACTTTTAAGAATTAGTGGGCGTAAAGACTTCTTCCTTGGTGGGCAAAATGTTAACTTTTAAGACTTTTGATTAATGCACTGGTTTTCTAGACTGAGTATATTATTATATAGTATTAGGGTTATACATCATATTTGGCACAATTGAACCTTGTTCAATGAATGTTATTTCATTCTAATAAGTTTCATTTGGGTTACTCCAAATTGTCACAAGTTTATGGCCATTTTATAAAACATGCTCCAAATGTCAAAACAGACCAAAATCACCCAATATGAACCTCCAGAAGATAATGTTTATATTTACAACCCTAAAAGCATCAGAGGGTTGAAACAAGAGATAAGAAGGAAAACCCAATTCGTTTGACAAGACTGGCATTTTGAGCAAGTTTTGTAAAATGCTCATAAAATCTGGACCATTTTGAGTAGATCAATGAAACTTGGTGGATTGAAAGAATATTGAACTAAGTTCAAATGCCAAATGTGACTCAAAACCCATACTTGATGACGGAGTTATAAAGATTTGTTTGGGTTACATTTTTGACTCCCCCTTTAGTTCTACAATAGGTTTAATGAAAGATAGCAAGGAGGATTGGCAGCCAGAATGCAACATGGATATACTCTAACAAAGCTAGCATCAGTCCTTGAGTCGGTATTTCTCATTTCAAAATTTCAATCGATCGTTCATTCTCCCTGCAGCTGTAGAAATATACAGGCATGATCATCAAAATCACATCACTTGGAGATTAAAAAATATCGAGTTGGAATTCTGGCTTCCAATCCTCCTTGAAAAGATAGCCAGAAGTTGAAATTTAGCAAATTACAACCAAGCACATATTGGCAGGGTTCAAAAATTGTTAAAACAAGACATCATCAAACTGAGGGTTTGGTTTGTATAATATTACATTACATTGACCATACACTAAATAATACCAATCTTTTTCAGCTTGAAATGGAAAATGATGATGTCATAGAGGTATATCAGGAACAAACGGGTGGCTTGTAACATCAGATTAGAAAGGTAATTGTTCTTGGCAAGATTTTTACTCAACTAATGATGTACTAGATAGTTAAGTTTTTCATTTTCAACCAAAGTAATTAATATCACTGTTTGAAAAATCGTGTTTCTTGGTATTTGCTACTCCGTAAAGTTACCAATTTCTTATTTTATATATGTCTGGTTTCAGCTTGAACTAGATCATTGACATTTGAATAAAGTATATCCTGAACAAAATTGGAGGATTTTAAGAACTGATTTTAGACTCTCCACAAGGCATGTGTTCTCAACTTGAAATACACATCACACATTGGATATTTCTTATTAAACTAGTAGGGAAATCTAGAGAACTGCGGCATGGCCATCATGACTATCTACTGCTGCCATGGCCAACGACGATGGATTTAAAGTGTTAATAGCCATTGAAAAGTTTCTATAGATGAACCCCGGTTGTTATGAAGGATACTGCCTTGGCTGGGAGATTAGCATAGTGCAAATATCTCTAATCAATTGTTAATTGTAAAAAGTCAAGAAGTGAAGTACGAGTCATTTCAATATTTTCAAAGATTGTATAGAATTCATTATTGTTTCTCTGATATACAATTAACAATTGGTTATCAAATATATATGTGTACATTGTAAATATGTGTCTTAGGAAAGATGTACAGTTGTGGAAGTTGAGGAGATTGGTGCACAGTTCTACATTCGGAGGACTCGATTTGAACTAAGTTAAGAATGTGTATTGTGTTATTTTTATTCCTGGAGCCAAATATGTATACTGTACTTATTGATATGATTTACGACCTATCAGCTTTAATGCAAATATCTGGAAATACTTTCTTTTTAAGTTGAAACCAACTAATTTTGTAAGGAGATGTGCCATTTATGAAAACACAACTGATAATCAATGATCGCCATAGAATAATGTGTCATGTACGTTTCAATG